TGTACTAACAGGAACTAAGAAACAAGATCATATTTCTCCTGTTTTAGCTTCTCTGCACTGGCTCCCTGTAAAATCCAGAATTGAATTTAAAATCCTACTGTTAACTTATAAAGCTCTAAATGGTCAAGCTCCGTCATATCTTAGAGAGCTCATAGTACCATATTATCCCACCAGAACACTGCGCTCTGAGAACGCAGGGTTACTCGTGGTCCCTAAAGTCTCCAAAAGTAGATCAGGAGCCAGAGCCTTCAGCTATAGATATAGATATTGGGCTTCATAAATAAAACTGATTGATTGAATTGATGTGTTGCTCATTACAGCCCCATAACCAAAACAGAAAACACTACATGGCCAAAAGTATGTGGACACCAAATGATCCACCCAGGTTTCAGTCCCTCTGTGAATTTACCGGCTTGTTTTGGGTTGTTGCGACTAAAACGCCTGATTTCACAGCAGCTTTTCTTTTTGTTTGTTTTTGTCTTTTTTTTTTTTTTTTTAATGGGTGGGTCCCTGTTTTGTTTGAGTGACACAATTCATCCAGTGGTTTCACACTGTTCCACAGGTGCTGATAATGTCGTAAAATATGCACCAACACATGTAGGTTAGAGGACGACAGCTACAGGGAGTAAATACGAGCGTAAACTATGCAATGACCTTGACCTTTGAACTTGAAAATCTAATCAGTTCGTTGTTGATTCCCTAACAGACCTTGAGATATCACGATCGCTAAATGAGACGGTCACAAGGTCATAGTGACCTTTGACCTCTGAGCACCAAAGTGTAATCGGTTCAGTTTTCACGTCAAGTGGACCAAATTTGAAGAAATTCCCTGAAGGTGTTCAGGAGATATCATGTTGAGAAGAATGCAACAGAACAGGTCACAGACCTTTACCTTCAACCACCTTATTCTAATCAGTTCCTTCCTGACTCAAAGTGGATGTTTGTGCCAAATTTGAAGAAATTCTCTCAAGGTGTTTGTGAGACATCACGTTCACAAGAATGAGACGGATGCAAGGTCATGGGGGCCCTGAATTTTGACCTCTGACCACCAAAATCTAATCACTTCATTCTTGAGTCCAAGGGAACGTTTGAGCCAAATTTGAAAAAAAAAAAAAAAAAAAAAATTCTTCACACATTCTTGGGCTATCATGTTTATGAGAATGAGATGGGTAAGGTCACAATGACCTTGACCTTTGGCCTCAAAAATCTAATCAATCCATCACTGAATTAAAGTGAACGTTTGTGCAAAATTTGAAGAAATTCCCTGACAGAATGAGATACTGCATTCACGAGGGGGACGGATTGATGTATGGACAGACAACCAGAAAACATAAAGCCTCCGGCTGTGACTAGACGCTGGCACGGATGCTTAGAAATGTTTTATGAGGACGGAAACCCAAGACTGATCAACATGAGGTACGTCAGCAGTTTGTTTGTTTGTTTACTAGAAAACTCCATGGTGCAGCTTTAATTTTAGAAGCATCTTGTCCTGAAACTGAAGCGTACGTTTCAACCTCTTTCTGACACTGTGAAAAGTCAGAGTGTCATGAAGCTTCCTCCTCTGAAGACTGCGCTGAATTTCAGCCACAAAGACACATTCATGTGGATGAGGGGGGAGGGACCACTAACCTGCAGCTCTCTGAACAGGTGGAGCATGGACACGCCCACCACGATGACCAGGAACGCCCCCAGCGTGGTGACCACATCCACGGCCGCCATGCTCCTCCACTCCTGGAAGAGGATGATGGAGGTGGACAGAACCACAGTGGTGAAGAGGACGTAGTAGATGGGGTAGACCAGCAGGGTGTTGAAGGTGTCCAGAGACTTGTTCAGGTAGTTCACCTGCAGGCGGACAGACAGGTGAGAGAAGCTCCTCCTTTTTTATGATCCTCAAACATCTGTCTGTGTCTGTGATCTCTAATTTAGGATTATCGTGAACTAAAAAACTGAAATTAAAATGAAAATAATCAAAGAAAAATATCGACACAAGCTGAAACTAAATCAAAACGATATTGCTGAAGAACTGAACTGGAACAGTACCTGGTTAAAAAAATAAAATAAAAATGAACCTTTTGACCTTTCAGATATAAAATGTCATCACTTCATTATTTTATCCTGTTAGACGTTTGTGTCGAGTTGTATCATAATTAATGTATGAATTCTTAAGTTATGGCCAAAAACAGGTTTTGTAAGGTCACACTGACCTTTGACCACCAAATTCAAATCCGTTTATTCTTTAGTCCAAGTGGACGTTTGTGTCAAATTTCAATTCCTTTTAAGTGTTCTTGAGATATCACAGTCACAAAATTGAGACATATAAGGTCACAGTGACCTTGACCTTTGACAACCAAAATCTAATTAGTTCACTGCACAGTCCAAGTGGACATTTGTGCCAAATTTGAAGAAATTCCCCTGACGCATTCCTAAGAGCTTCCACGAGTTGTGTCATAATTAATGTATGAATTCTTGAGTTACGGCCAAAAACCTATTTTGTGAGGTCACACTGACCTTTGACCACAAAATTCAAATCCGTTTATTCTTCAGTCCAAGTGGACGTTTGTGCCAAATCTGAAGAGATTCCCTTGAGGCGTTCTTGAGATATGGTGTACACAAGGATGGGATGGACATAGGTATGTACGTACAGGCAGATGGACGGACAACCCAGAAACACAATGTCTCCGACCGTGGCTATCTTCAGCACGGAGACATGAAAAACATGCATTTCTGTGACGTTAAACCACAGAAATTTAACACATTAACAAGAAGATGATTTAATATTTTAGTACCAGCTGGGGTCAAACTTTCTTCTGAGTGCAGCAGTGAAATATTCCCAAATATTCCAACCACATATTTTGTATGTAGCTCCGTACGTCTGAAACATTAAACCTGGTCCTGACAAACACAAACTACAACTACTGTAAAAATACATTTATGAAAATAAGCCTTTCTGAAAAAGTGAAATTAAACTAACACTTTGAAAACTATCTAAAATAAGAATAAAATTAAAATGTATTTAAAATGACACTAACAGACTTCCTGCATGAGAGGATGAAACAGCTCACCTGTGTTACTATGGAGACGATGAGTGTGACGAGCAGGATCCAGGTGAGAGGACTGGCGAGCACTGAAATATCATATAACACTAAACAGAGAAAAACACAGATGAGTTTTAGAGTACGATTCATCAACTGGTTTATGACACGCTGTGATAAAACTGTCTGATTAAAAAAACAAGGAAGGATTCAAACTGAAGCAGAACACCAGACGTCCTCGTCTTTACACAGCACAGTCTCCTGCCAGCTGCCCACATTACCCACAATGCAACCCTTCCTCTGACAGCTCAACATCATCCTCACTGTGACCTCGTCACATGTCCATGTTTGGTCATGGACTTTCCACGTCCACATATGACGTCCAAGGTACCCTGGGTGTGTTGGTTGTTGACGTTCTGGGACGCCGTGTCAACTTCAGCCTGTTACATGCATTGTCTGTTTTCAAAATACACTTCTGTTTTCACAGGAAATGTACAGTTTGCATACAGTCTCTTTCAAAATAAAAGCACTACATTGGTACAACACCACCAACTGATGTTTTTTTTTTCCTTCACCACACACGTGGTTACGTTTAGCCGACACACACAAGTGGTTATGTTTAGCCAACACACACACACACACACACAAGTGGTTCCATTTAACCAACGCACACACGTGGTTATGTTTAGCAAATGCACACACGTGGTTATGTTTAGCAAATGCACACACGTGGTTACGTTTAGCAAATGCACACACGTGGTTACGTTTAGCAAATGCACACACATGGTTATGTTTAGCAAATGCACACACGTGGTTACGTTTAGCAAATGCACACACGTGGTTACGTTTAGCCGACACACACACACGTGGTTACATTTAGCCAACGCACACAAGTGGTTACGTTTAGCCAACACACGTACGTGGTTATGTTTAGCCGACACACACGCATGTGGTTATGTTTAGGCGACACACACACGTGGTTACGTTTAGCCGACACACACACGTGGTCACGTTTAGCTGACACATGCACGTGGTTACGTTTTGCCAGCACACACACACTTGGTTATGTTTAGCCAATACACACACGTGGTTGCATTTAGCCGGCATACACATGTAGTTACGTTTAGCCAGCACACAGACGTGGTTACGTTTAGCCAATACACACTCATGGTTACATTTAGCCAATACACACGTGGTTACATTTAGCCGACACACACACGTGGTTGCATTTAGCCGGCATACACATGTAGTTATGTTTAGCCAGCACACAGACGTGGTTACGTTTAGCCAATACACACTCATGGTTACATTTAGCCAATACACACACGTGGTTACATTTAGCCGACACACACACGTGGTTACGTTTAGCCAGCACACAGACGTGGTTACGTTTAGCCGACACACACACGTGGTTACGTTTTGCCAGCACACAGACGTGGTTACGTTTAGCCAATACACACTCATGGTTACATTTAGCCAACACACACACGTGGTTACATTTAGCC